TCCCTACTCCCTTTTTTCTTTTACCTCCCCTTTTGCTCTTTATGCATAGTTCTTTCACATCTTTTGTAGGAAGCCATAAGTTAATTCAAGTTCCGTATGTTTTGTAGGCACCCAGTGAAATGCTTCTTGAGGATTAGTTCTTCAGACACGAAGTTCTTCTTCACTGAAGTACTGCTCGCTAGTACTTCCTTCCCAGAAACTTCTGGGCCCTCAGAAAGTGTAGATCCAGAATGCCTAATTTTAAAGGGAGATATGGTGTCTGTAAAGACCAGGGGCCACCAATGGGCAACCAGACAGTCTGTGATGCTTTAACAAGGGAAATGGACATGTTCATTTTCACTTCCCTTTTCAAAGGGGCCAGGCATTGGCTTCCACATGGTACACTGGTTTCAGCAGAAAGCAGGAGAAGTGAACTAACTGTACAAGTTAATGTCTTAGTTAGTTACTGGTCTGTTGCTATGAAGAGACACTATGACCACGGCAACTCTTTTTTTTTAATATTTATTTATTTATTATGTATACAATATTCTGTCTGCATGTATGCCTGTAGGCCAGAAGAGGGCACCAGACCTCATTACAGATGGTTGTGAGCCTTGCCGGGAATTGAACTCAGGAACTTTGGAAGAGCAGGCAATATCCTTAATTGCTGAGCCATCTCTCCAGCCCCAACAGCAAGCTGTTTTTATAAAAGAGCATTGCATGGCAGCACATAGGCAGGCACATACTGGAAAAGTAGCCAGGAGCTACATCCTGATCCACAGAGACACTTGGCCTGCTGTGGGATTTTAAAAGCCCACTCCCAGCCGGGCGTTGGTGGCGCACGCCTTTAATCCCAGCACTCGGGAGGCAGAGGCAGGCGGATCTCCGTGAGTTCGAGGCCAGTCTAGTCTACAAGTGCTAGTTCCAGGACAGGCACCAAAACTACAGAGAAACCCTGTCTCGGGTGAAAAAAAAAAAAGCCCACTCCCAGTAACATACCTCCTCCAACAAGCCCATAGTTACCCAAAGAAGGCCACCCCTTCTAATCCTTTCCAACAATTACACTTCCTAGTGAGCAAGAATTCAATTATATGAGCCATGGGGGTCATGCATGTAAGACTCCTTTGGTCTTCCATTGTCTCTGCAATGAGGATTTCATTCCCTACAGCTTAGTGTTTGACATCATAAAGGGACCTCCTACCACTCCGTAGACTCACAGAGCTAAGAGCTCACTCTTCCATTGTTTGTTGGCAAGTAATCTCCTCTAATGTGAATTCACTGAATTGCCAGGTAAGCTCTGGATTTACTGAGTATGTTTTACTCAGGCCTTTTGCCAAGTGTTGGGTCTTTAGAAAAGAATAAATAGTCTCTGGCCTTGAGTTTATATCTAGTGAGACAGATGTAAGTAGATTCCCTTCAGAACCAGATAATAAGTGCGGAGGTGGAGGCAGGTGTAAGTCCCCTTGAGCTCAGAAGTTGGAGTTACTTTAAAGCAATAGGTAACTTCATAGGTAGCAGTGACTCAAAGAAAAAAATAAAAGAAATGTACTTCCCACTGATAGAATTTCTAACAATTTAAAACTTGTCAAAATGGGAAAACAGTAAGTCTGACAATAGGTCTAAAAATGATCTCCCTATATGAGAGAACATTTTTAAAGGCAAGTTTTTTTCTATCTCTATGGTTTTCATGGAATAAGCTAAGCCTCTTTCCTTTTCTATTCTATTCCCCTTTCAATAATTAATTTCTTTGTTATACCTGTGACAGATGTCAGCTGGCTGTCAACCTGGAGATGGCACTGTATGTTACGATAAGCTCTTGTCTATAATTGATGACACCTGCTGGGAATGGAATCAACTGAGAGGTCAGAAGCAATGGGACTTGTGAAGTCTGGGGTCTCGCTGGACAGCCTTTCACTCAGAGTGAGAAAGGAAACCTCATTCTTTAAGTTTGGTGGCTGTCTCCTCAAATTTCTGAAATTTGGTGTCATTGTCCTTCTATTAAATGACTCACGATAAAAATATCTTGTTTAGCTGGTATTTCTGAGTGCTGACTGGTTATGCAAGAGCCAGCAGCAGTGGTGATCAGGCCAAACCTCTCAGCATGAGAACAAGAGGGTTCTTAAACATCTAAGAGTTCGATAAGCACACTACATAAAAATCAGGCAAAGGTCTTTTGTTTGTTTGATTTTGTCCTAATTTTTGAGGCAGGATCTCCCTGAAGTCAGTGCTGGCCTTGATTCTCCTGCCTCCACCTTGCAAATGCTGGGATTATGAATGTGCAGCACCATGACCAGATGGTTTTGTTTTTGTTTTTTCAGGCAGGGTCTTTCTGTGTAGCTCTGACTATCCTGGAACTCACTCTGTAGCCCAGGCTAGCTTCGAATTCAGAGATCTGCCTGCCTCTGCCTCCCAAGTGCTGGGATTAGAAGCGTGCACCAGCACCACCTGGCTAAGAGAAGATTCATTTTTAAAAGTATTTTTCAAACCCACACCGACTGTATCTCTAGTATAATACATACAGGAAATTAAATGTATCACACAAAATCTGCATCACCCTCCTAAAAATCTTCAGGGATACTTCCAAGATTAATTAGACCTACCCTAGTCTCTAAGCAGCTATGCATAACTGAACAGAAATGGAGCAAAAGATACTGAAAAGTACCCACACTATTTCCTAGCCATTACAGACTTTCTCTGGGTCAGTGGTGGCACACATCTTTAATCCCAGCACTTGGAAGTCAGAGACAGGTAAAAAGGAGTTCGAGGCCAACTTGGCCTACAAAATTCTACACAGAAGGCTACACAGAAAAATTAAGTCTTGGTGGTGGTGGTGGTGGTGGGGTGCTTTCTCTGAAACTTGTGTTCTAAGAGCAGTGAGTGGTTCATCCCCTTCAACTTTTCTAGGCAACATTAAGCTTCTATTCTTCGACATTTCTTTTCTTGCTGGCTTAGTGACATGATGCAGTCACTGAACTAAAAGATGAAAACTATGTAACTTATATTTCAAAAGCTAAACTAACTTTTCAGATTGTACGGTTTTCATATAGCTTACCATTTCAACTTTATCTTTTATACGTGGGCTCATACATGCATTGCACTTACTATGTTGCTCTGACAGCTTTAAGAAATATATAAATCCCACTTTTTTAAAAGGTTTTTTTTTTTTTTTTTTTTTTTTTTTTTTTTTTTTTTTTTTTTTTTTATTGAGACAAGGTCTCACTATGTAGCTCTGATTGTCCTGGAACTCACAGAGATCTGTCTGTCTCTGTCTCCCAAGTGCTGGAATTAAAAGTGTGCACCACCACCACCCAGCCACCTTTGGATTTTGGATTTTTAACAAAAAAAGAGACACCAAGAGTTAATCTCTCCTACAAGGAACAAAAGGAAAGAGGAAGCAGAAAAGCACACCAGGAACAATCAGATCAGGACTACTATAACAATAGCAACAAAGCTTTGAAGCGAAGATGTCCTGCAGTATTGAAGGGAAGTTCCAGGAACTTGTGGATATAAGTCTCTCATGCTCAACTCCCTTATACAAAATGGTATAGCTCTTGTAAATGACCTGTGTCCACCGTCCACACACTTTAAACCCTCTCGAGGTTATACTATTTCTAATACCCAAAACAATGCAAATAACCACTTAAAGGATAACGACGGAATTTGTCTCTATGTTTATTAACACAGAAGCATTTTTTCCTCTGAATATTTTCAACTGTAGGTTGAAGGCTTGACCATAGTAGTAAAATCAGTTGTAAAACTAGAGTAAAATTCTTAAAGAGTAGTGAAACCAGGTAAAGGAACTAACACATTTAACTGTGTGATGTTCCAAACAAGAGTAGGAGGGGAAAAAAGACTTCAGGATCACCCCCAAACTGTAACGAACATTTCACTAATCAACAGAACTTAAAAAGATAGAAGGGTATGCCTCTTTATGGCAGAATGTTTTCCATTTGAGCTTGAAAGTAAATGGAGGTTGCCAAAGCAAGATAGCTAGACCAAAGTATCTTCGTGGAAATAAGAATTTGAAACCACGGACAGAAGAGCATACCGTACCAAGTTAGTTATTAGACCACACCAACTATTATATTCCACCAAACTGCAAGTTTTTGACTTGAATGCTTCTGGTCTTTTGAAAAAACTTTGTGAATTCTAAATTATGAGAACCAAGCAAAAGGCAAAACTGTAAACAAAGCCTTTCAAAAGTGGGCATTTGTTGTCGGATGGTCTGAATTTCAAACATAATTTAACGATGTAGATACTATATAGTTATTTTTTGTAAACTTACATGCTCTTAAGAGAAAATCTGCAAAATATAGAAGAGCAAAAAGAAAAAAGAAATCCAACCTCCTGTCAACCAATTTTCTATAGTAGGGGCCAGCCTTATTTATATTCCGACTGTTTTTCGAGTGCTGGATTTCAGTTTAGTCTCTTTATGATTGTTACCTTGGCAGGTTCAAGTATGAAATACTTCATTTTAAACAAGTGCTTTGCTTTTTAATTGTCAAGTAAAAACAATCGATACTACGTTTACAATAAACTTTCTAAATCAATGTGCAGAAGACGACGATCATTGATGGGAAGGGGAAAAAGTGAGCATCGTTCAGGAGCGAGGGATTAGAGCTAAACTAGGTCACGTTACTGATTTTTTTACATCAAACGGGTCTCCACACTTAAATTCACAGCCGCACCTTGAATGGCGAACTCAATAGAGTTCAATATGAACTCAATAGAGATCAACCTTCTTCGAAACAATGTGGACTTTGGAACGCTACAATTCCCGTCAGAGAAGGCGTAGCCTTAAAAATAAAATTCCACCCAGCGCCCGAATTGCAGGTAGCTCAGGTCACCGAGTCCGACCTGACTTCCCAACCTCAGTGTCCAAGATAACGACAACAAACCGAGGCGACCACCGCCCCCAGCAACCGGAAGACGCTAGCGTTCCAGCGCGCAGGCACCGCGGCGGCGCCCAGGGCCGCGCATGCGCTCACGTAGTCGCGCGCCGGGCCTAAACCCCTCACTTTGTCGTCACAGGGCAGATGATCAGGGTGCGTCCGCCTTTTCCCTCCCCCTTCAACCCTCCTACCCCCTCCCTCCCCTCGTCCCTCAATCTTCTCCCTGTTTCCTCTCTCTTCCTCCCTGGGGCGGCTCCTGAAGACTCCCGCTTCCGGTCAGAGGCGGTCTGCAGAAGCACGTCCCGCCTCTTCCGTTTACCCGGTGGCTGTGCGGACGGAGGAGGCAGTAGCGGCAACGGCGCCTGGCAGAGTGGGCAGGCGGGTCCCCTGGGCAGCCCAGCTGGAGGTGGCCAAGCCGAAGCCCGGGGGCCGAGGACAATGAACTATAACGCGAAGGATGAGGTGGACGGCGGGCCCCCGTGTCCTCCTGGGGGCCCCGCCAAGACCCGGAGGCCGGATAACACGGCCTTCAAACAGCAACGGCTGCCCGCCTGGCAGCCCATCCTCACGGCCGGCACGGTGCTGCCTACCTTCTTCATCATCGGCCTCATCTTCATCCCCATTGGCATCGGCATCTTCGTCACCTCCAACAACATCCGTGAGATCGAGGTGAGGGAGGGGCGTGGCGGGGTGGTCCCCTGGCTCCCCGAAGGTGACAGGCGGGCTCCGCCCTCCGGTGCCATCTCAGATTCTTCTGCGGGTTTTCTGAGTTTGCAGTTTTGGCGTCTAGGTTCCTTTTGCTTTCGGTCTGCATGGCTGGGAACGGAAAGAATGTCAGGTGGACAAGATTTATTTATTGGGTAGTTTGTGTGGTTCTTTGAGGGTTAGAGTATTTGTTTTTCTAGGAGGAGAGAAGGAAGAAGTTAGATTAAACTCGGAGGCAGCGCGCAGGGTCACTGTTGTTACTTGCGTTTGAATTATTCCCGGACACAGAGATTAACAAATTGGTCTTTGTTGGGTGAAGGACCCGAAGTCATAGAGGTATTGATTATTCTGTGAAGAAATTTGTCACATGTTACAGAGCACACAGTAACTTTCATATCGAGCTAATTAGATAGTTTTAGTTGCTGGCCGTGGTGTAGTTAAAAACGTGAAACTTCTCGTTTGCTTTTAGGCAGTATTTATTTCCAATTATGCTCAACATTTGTCCCAGTTCTCCCTGCTTGATTTTTTTTAAAACTGTGCATATCAGTGACTCCGCACAGAATAAGTTGGGATCTAATTATAAAAAATTTCCCTGGCATTGTGTTTCTGAACATTTTACTTAGCCAGGATAGAAACACTGAACTGGGGGAAACATTTGATTTGTCCACTGCAATAATCACTGCATCGTTATCCATCCGCAGTGGCGAAGACTGGCTAATAAAAGAATGTAAGCACTGCATGGTGGACAGTACTAGCCTTCTACAGGGCCTCTTTCCTAGTTTAGGGAGCTGGGATCTGTTTGAAATGGCCAAGAGTGATGTTGAGCAGCCTCCCTTGGTTCTGCTCTGCCGTATACATACATTTTGTGTACATATTTCAAAAATAAAGATTACATGTGTGATTTAATTGGACTTCCCCAGTTATTTTAGCTAAGGAGTATTGGTACCTTTTTATAGTTTAATTTACAATATTAACGTTTAAGAAAGGTTGTTGTATTTTAACGGCACAGTGCTTTGGTGTTAATGACAGTAAGGATTATAGCTAGCGTGTACTTCTAAAATCTTTCACTTAGATTCGTTTTCAGTGTGTTGACTAGAGCAAGTTCACAGCAAATATTTTTAGCATATATTTTATCTTCCTGTTTTTTATCCTTGTCATATTCCTGCAAATGTATCCTAGAATGCTCCAAATATAAAGCTCAAGGTTGGCCAGGCTGGACACTAGAAAAGTTTTGATCTCAGAATGTTTTCGATTGCAGACTTCCTGATTAGGTATGCTTAACTGGAGAAGACCATCCAAATATTCCAGAATGTAAAAATAATAATATTAAAAGAAATCCTCGTATGTGAAACACTTCAGTTCCCATCAGTGTCCGGTAGTACTCAAACTCTGAGCTCTGCCACTTTTAATTAGCTTGGATTTGGGGGCAGTTTATTTCTCTAAAAGCTAGTTTTTTAATCTCTAAAATAAATAGAATAATGAATTTCTTCTAAGATTTCACAGAAGCAAGATAGTTGTTGCGACTTTTGGGTTAACTTTTGTTTCAGACAATGCTGTGTTCAAAATGCTACATTTGAAATGAAAGAAAATGGAAATTAGGAACTGGAAATTTTGTATTAACACCAACACATGCAGATAGAATGCTTAAAATTTGAGTGTTGGATAGATAGCAAAATTATTTCAAACTGGGTCTGGGGTTATGAGAAAAAACTAGAGAGCTTTTCCAAAAGGGACATACATGTTCATGTGCCTACTCTGTGTGCTGGCGATTGAACTCAGGGCCACAAGAAAGTGCTGTACCAGTAAGTTACTTCCCTAGTTCCTCAACCTTTTGTTAGCTGCTAGCTTAGACTAAAAGCCTTTGAGGGTTATTGGAAGTAAACAGGAGGAACTGGAGAGCTGGCTCACCAGTTAAGAGCATTGGCTTCTCTTGCAAGAGTGCTTAGGTTTGATTTCCAGCACCCACACAGTGACTCACAACTGTCTTCAACTGCAGTTCTAGGTGATACAATGTCCTCTTCCAGCCTCAGCAGGCGTCAGAAAGACATCAGCGTGGTCTGCAGACATGCAGGCAAAACACTTATACACATTAAAATAATAGAAATGTTTTATAGCCAGACATGGTGCACATGCATGTCTTTAATCCCAACATAAGGGAGGCAGAGAATGGATCTCTGGGCCTGGTCTACTTAGTGAGTTCCAGGATAAACAGAGCTAAGTAGATTCTGTATCAGAACAACAAAAGTAAATAAAAAGAAATGAAAATAAAATAATAAAATTAAATAAAGGTAAATGGGAAATGAGCATCTCTTACCCAGATTGATTCCCACTCACTTGTTTACATCTTTTAAGGTTCTTTTTTGGTGTGGTAGAATTGTCTGTATTCTGTCAATCATATTTTAATAAAACGCTGATTGGCCAGGCAGGAAGTATAGGCGGGTCAACCAGACAGGAAGAAGAGGTGGGGCAATGAGAATAGAATAAGGTTATGGAGGAGGAAGGTCCCTTTGCCATTCCTGCGCAGACCACCGAAGAGGCAACATGTAAGCTGTCACACTGAGAAAGGTACTGAGCCCATGTGGCTAACATAGAAAAGGATAATGGGGTAACATAAGTTATAAGAGCTAATAAGTAGCCTGACCTAATGGACCAATCAGCTTTATAACTTATAGAGATCTCTGTGTGGCTGATTTTCCTTTGGGGCTTGCCAGCTGTGGAGCACTGGGCGGGACAGATACCCCAACAAGCAAGCCCCCTCATGTTACATATGGCGCCTAGACGTGGATAACTGAATCCACAGAAAGCTTGAGAAAGCTTGGGAAAAAAAAATAGAGTACAGCATGTTTTCTTGGTAGCAGCAATTTCTCGGGTCTGCTCTGCTTGCTAGAGGCAAGCAAGCACTCTCATCTAAGAGAGGCTTCCTAATTCAGCTTTAGCTGCAAAACTTTGCAGCTCTTTTAAGAGGTCCTGCCACTAAACACTTAAACTGTGTTTAGGAAAATCTGAATGCATGCTTTTCGGTTTTCAGTCGTAGCAGGAAAAAAAGCTGCACTGTTTTAAAATGCCGGCTTTCTGGACTGTCCTGCCAGGGCAAACTCTGACTCTTTCAGGCAGGCAGTCCGACTGAGTGTGGTCTGTGAGCAGAATGCTGCAGCTTGCTTGCTAGCAAGGACCTTGAAATGCCATAGAGTTGTGGCAGTGAACACAGCTCTGGCTGGTATCTCAGCCATGAGGCTGAAAAGTTAAAAAATGAGCTGGATCTAGCCGTCAAAGCCACGGCTCTCCATATTGCTTAGTAAATTAAAGGCTTATGTAGTCAGAAAAAGAGAGATATACA